ATAACTAATGAAACTCAAAGATTTTTTATAACAAATATCCCGCTGGAAACGAAAGTATTAGCCTTTACTACTAACATTGAGCCAGGCCAACCTGAACATCCGTGCAGTCTGACCAGGCTCTACACTGTTGGTGTTGACCAACTTCAAATTTTAATTTTTACCTCCCTTTAGATGATAGTGGACAGTTCCAAAAAAATGAAAGTTGGATAAGTCCATTTTAAGAAATACAGCAGGTTTAGTGTTAGAATGAATTATGCAATAAATCAGTTAAAACATTTATAAAAAAACGACGATTTTTGTGAAATTTTAAACAATAATAATGATCTAAGAAAGTAAATATTTAAATGACAAGGGCGTTGATCTCTGCTGATAATAAATATTTTCTTTTTTTTTAAAGACAATTTCATGATGTTTTCGAGTTTTCGTGATTTTTTAATCACTAACTTTAATGAATCACATAATTGCTGCTATTTTTTGATTTGTTTTTATTTTAAAGAATTTTCATTACTTTTGTGTTCAATAAAAGAAATAATTGTTTTTCTTCTTTTTCTTTTATTATTTAAAATGTTCAGAAACTATGCTACACTGACCCACACACGTTTTTTTGTATTTTTTTTTTTATTTTTTTTTTGGTTATTTGGTTATTTTAACAGGGACGCCTTAACAGCACCATTGAAGTACAAGTTTGCAAGTACTGATGTAAAATACCTTTGCTTATATAGATCAATGTTTACAAAATGAAACATTTCAAAGGGTTAAAATGAAATAAAACAGAATAAATGTGTTAGCACTTTAATAAACTGGTATTTCTCGGAGACTGGCATGTGTTAAATCATATAGTTCCATGTAAATGTATGGTGGCGGTGTTGGTAGTGTTCGCAATAAGCCGCAATGAATTTACCAGATCACAGTTCAGCCGCCGCAAGGAACTGTTAAGGACCTGGTTACTTCTGTACATGCCAAAGCAGGGGTACAGCGCGAATGACAATAGAATGGAATTCATGATCTATCACATCGAATGTGACCTGCACTGTCCGGGAATCAAACCCGGGTCGCCCGGTTCACTTTTCAACGCTCTACATATTGAGCTAATCGGACGGCTCCAGGTAAATGTATGAACTTGTGGTACAGTTTTATTCTTTGGTTGCATCTTTATAACAGAGTTTTCATACATACTTAAACCGGACATTGTCGGGACTGAACAACATTTCAGTTTTAGTAAGGCTTCCAATTTACTCAAAATGCAATTTATATATCTACATATTTCTTTCATAATTTCATAAAATGTTTGTTTAAACAACAATCAGCGGATATAAAGCTTTTTATTCTTTACAACAAATTTGAATATCAGTTAATTAAATAGTTTCATGTAATGATGTAATACTATATGTATAAATGTGAAATTATTTGAAATAAACGAGGTTAAAAAAACCCACTTGTAAATGGGGATATAGACATATAGGTGGAATGAAAACTGTTTCATATGATTTATTTAAACTTTGCATGTGATTTATTTAACTTTTGCATGAAGTAAAATGAAGATCGTAAAGAAAAATGTTTGTGCTGCAAGCAGTTTTGAATGTGGAACTGTTCATTGCTAGGTTAAGGGATTTCCGTATTAGGCGACCAACAATAGGGAGTCTGATCAGACTATTCGGTCGTGCAGGCTCACCCGAGTCTTTACCGGTGGCATGTTTTGTTTTATTAGAACCTTTTGCTTGTGATAAAAGCGTGTATATTATACCGTTTTCCTTTTTTCCAAGGCAGATAAGAATTATATGTAAAAGAAAACAGATCCATGTTCTTCAATTTAAATATTGTCTTATTTTTATGCAAAACTGAATAAAAGTGTCTCTAATTTCCTCAATCTATGTCGTACATTTCCTTAAAAATATGTAAGATTAACTTTATTGCAAACTGAAAACAGTGCGGGAAAAGAAGAAAAAACCAGCAGATCTTTGTCAAAAACCGTTGATCTGCTTTAATCGTTTGTAATAAATTGAATTTTATCAATAAAAGACATACTTTTGTAATCTAAGGGAAACAACTCAGATTTTACGTTATGGTTACAGCGTAGTGCTTACCGCCCATTAATACAGTGTCACGAAAAAACACCCCATTGTAGTACATGTCATTATTTATTTATACTTTCAATATAAAATTACCGGCACGCGAGCAGTACATATGTATGAAATAAATACATTGAAATTATCAATTATAAATGTTAACATTTAAATAAAGAAAGGAACGAAAACAAACATTTGAGCCGCGTCATGACAAAACCAACAGAATAGGTTTGCGACCAGCATGGATCCAGACCAGCCTGCGCATCTATATCAAGTAGAGAAACTGATAGCGAACAGCATGGATCCTGATCAGACTGCGCGGATGCGCAGGCTGGTCTGAATCCATGCTGGTCGCAAACCCATTATGTTGGTTTTGTCATGACGCGGCTCATTTTAGTCTTACCACAGAGCTTAAATCTGTAATATACGTCTCTGTTCTTACTTTGTCATAATTTTATATTTATATTTATATCCAGAATGACATATTCGTTTTAATCAATAGTGATGGTTCATATTAATTCCGTCCTTTCCTCTATGTAAGGAAATATTTCAGATTTAGCCTGTTAAAAATCTTTGTTTATTAAGTGTGTCCAAGCTAGGGCGTTGGTTTACATTGTAATATGTATTGGCTCATTTTCGAATCGTCTAATTGACATAGGGGTATTACATATTTTAACGGAAATACCCCTAAAAATTTCGTGGAATTATCCCAACCTACATTCGTTCGTCTTTATTATTTTACATTATACACACATTTTCATTTATTCCTAGACCATCTAAAAAGCCGAGTTTTTTTTAGTTGGAAATGTTTACCTGCAGCTATTTTAAAAATGCGAATATGTCATTGCTTTTTCCCTGTGCGTTGGTAACCTATGGGATTTGGTTAAGTTGCAAAAAAACTTGCTGTACATACTCAATGTCCACGCAGTGATCTCCCTTTCATTCTGTACAAATAAGGGGAAGTAACCGCTGTGAGCAATTTGCACAACATATTTTATTAGTATTTATTAACAATTATACTATTCAAGGACTATTTATCGACAAGTTGTGGCATAATTGTCTTCTTTTTAAGTTGAAAAAAAGCTGGATTATACAGAACATTGTTCAACTGGTTTTCTGATTTCCTTCCTAACAACGACCCTCCCGCCGTTCATCAAGGTGATCAATCGGACTTGTTGCAGTAAAAGGAAGAAATCCGCAAGAGTCTATTTATGAGCCTCCATTGTTGCTGTTATACATCAATGATTTTGCTTATGACTCAAATCTTAAATATACATATATTTGCCGATATTAACAGTTTGTACATATCATATTGCCGGATTTCCGCATATTTTTCCAAAGCTATTCAATTTTATATAGACAAAATTGCCAAACGTTTGTAACCTTCACTGGTTCTTAATTTGAAACCATGATCATTTCACTGAAAAACCGCAAAATCTTATTATCCAACACTTTTGGTACAAGATTGTCTCGGTAAATAGTCAAATACATCTTGGTCTTTACTTTTCGGATGATGTCTTGACTTGCACACATATGAGGAAACTTAAATTTACAGAAAACAGGTGAACACTATATGTTGTATACCTTTCTTTTTGAATTTCTCATATTGAATATAGAGATATACATTGTAACCAATTAACTGGAAACTTAATCTTGACAAAAAAAAATCAACATGAAGTTTCCCATACTGACTCGAATGGGCGGGGTATTAAACTTACATGTCTCTTCGTGAACTTAAAAAAGTGCATGTACTTTTGGAATCTCTTGAGATTGGAGACAGAAACACAAACGATATTTATTTGTTTATTTTATGAAATGAAAAAATGATCAACCACCAGATGATATATCCACATAGAAACGCCCAGGTACTATTTAGGAAGTGATTCTGATTATGCAAACAATACGTACAAGAACTTCTTTTCAATGCAGTTCTGACATCTGTTTTGACCGATTTTGATTAATTTCAAACTCAACATCTGTGTCATCATTTTAGGTTGCAAATGAAAGGTAATATCCAAAAATGACCGCACCATTTCTATGCTAGCAAAATAAGATGAGAAGTCGTTCCGAAAGGAATGCAGCTCTTTAAACCATCACTTATTCAGAAAAATAAATCTGCCCTCCCCTCACCTGATTGTCGATTTGGCCTGCACGAGAATAACTTTCATTTCGCCTTTTTTTTGAGTGTAACATATATAATGGTTCTAACTTAAATGCTACAAAATTTCAAACCTTACTAACTTGGACAAGGAAATCACTTCATTTTTATCCAAAGAGTGCAGTTATAAAAACGTGTACATGTATTAATCAATTTCCATGAGCTTTTATTAACATAACAATTTGGCATTTTTATTTATTTGAAAGGATCGTTCTCATTCTAAGTGCAAGGTATTCAAAAAGAGAAACAATCGTATAAGAGTGCTTTCCCTTAGACAAAGTTATCATATTTTGCTTATTTTACACTTAATACGGACAGTAGCTTCCCTTGCCAAATAGCAGTCTCGGTAGCCAAAATTTCCATGTTATTATTTATGCAGTTAAAAGTAATCGACATATTGTCTCCCGTGTTTATTTGCTCAAAATTTCAGTAATCAAACTTTTAATACAGAATTTATATTTCCTGTCATTTAAGTCCCTAATGAAACATTTTAGTATTTTTTACCAAGGCACAGAAGGAAAATTTGAACTAGCTCAAGGAAACTTTGCATGATTAAAGAGAATCATGATTGAAACAAATTGATTGAAGAAAATAGGTGTCACATACCCACTCTTTTACTTATCTGCCATTGAAAGTCAGTGGTTTTTTTGCTTCTGCTCCGTTGGTTCGCAGTACGTTCAGCGCTTTGATAGAAAATGTTGTCGTTGTTTTTTGTTATTTAAAAGACAAAACAACAAAACAAAAATATGAAAGACAACAGCAAAGAAAACTCATTTTTTATGAAAATACTTTAATGATAATATCTATTACAATAGCGTATATAGATAGAAAAATGCAATGGTTTTGAACAATGCTAACAAAAGAGAATAAGTTAAAACTATGGTCACATAGAGAACAATATAAAACTACAATGACAGAATTCTTGATAATTCTACATAAATGTACCTCAATGTAGACTTAATGTATGATATACAATGTAATACAAAAAATGTTATCCCATGACTTTGTGATAGAGTGTGAAATGTATATAAAACTGAGATGTCGTAATGGCGTTTCTAAACAATACCACTTTGTTAAGTCATGTTTATTGAATATCAATGGAATGTTCATGGAATGTCCAGCTAACATAAAATGATAGCTATATACACGATTTTAGCTGAATGTCAAGCAAAATGTAAGAAATGTGTTATGATAAGAAAAAATCTCTAAAACATTAATTTATGATGACATAATGTAAGTATTGTGCGCTTCAACTGACTTGTTGTTGTTGTTGTTATATATTTTTTATATCAATTATTGTGTAAATCTTAAATCAAGACAGTCCGATAGATACACAAAATTACCAAAAATGAAAATCATCTAAGTATTGTTACTTTCGTATATCTTTTGTTTCATTCGTAGGGCTGAAAATAATGAAGTACTTATTATATGAAAGAGTAAAGTTGCTTTGTTAGTTCCCTTTGATCCAAAACAGATGAAATGATATATAATACTGTATCAAAGTTCTAAAACATAGATAATTTATGTGTCTTATATATGTAACTTGCTAGTGAACATGACAAATTTTATGATGATAATTACTTTGGCTTCGCTGAATATCAAATGGCCTTTACATACGAATCATATAAAAGTTTATCATATGTCCTACACTTAACATTATTGTTCATTATTGTTCATTATTAAACAAATCATATCACAGTAAATAAAGTGGCCTAACGGAATCATGTTACAGATTATCAAATAACTTATTCGTATCATATCACTGTTACGAATCATAATCTTATCATATTACTGTGAATTGAATGACCAAACGGGATCATATCACATTTATTAAATGACCTTTATAAATCATATCACAGTTTATCAAATTACCTACACAAATCATATCACTGTTTATCAAATAACATATATGGATCATATCACAGTTAATAAATGGCCTTTACGAATCATACAACTGTTAATCAAATGGTCTTACCGAATTTCAGATTATTAAATGTCCTACACGAAAAATATGACCGTTTATCAAATGTCATATACGAATCATATCAGTTTATTAATGACCTTACCGAATCCAAGGTTATCATATGGCCTATAAGTCGGTTCCAGGATTATCAGATGGCCTATACGAATTATATTGCTATTAACGATCCATATCACTGGTAATCAAACGAAGGCATGTATCATGGTCTATACGATGACTGTATTCCACATTTTTATTGACTTTATTTCGCATGCTTATTGACTTTATTCCACATGTTTATTGACTTTATTCCATATGTTTATCACATGCTCAGATAAATCATACAGCAGTTCTTTCACACTCAACAAATCACCTTTTCATGTAGTTCATATCACATATTTGATTTTGTTGCCTGATAATAGCAAATCAAGTCAGTCACATTGAGATAATATAATCATATCACAGTTTTTGCTTTATGTGTTGACGGATCATATCACAGTTCTGCTTTATGTGTGGACGGATCATATCACAGTTTTGCTTTATGTTTGGACAATCATATATGATCACAGCTCGGTTTCAGTTACAGGATCTGTAAGTTGTTCAACCAGATCCCCGGATGTTGGCGGCATATCTTGTAACCAACATGTATGTATCACATCTAGAAGCTGGAATTAAACAACATCACGTGATTACTGAACCATTCGGAGTATCAATTGTTCAAGCACTTATATCAATTGAAAAAGTGCAAGAGAGCATAACCCTTAAAATGCAGTAATCAATATTCAATGATGATTTACATTACACTTCAAAAGAATACACAGTTGAATAACAAGTGCTATTCCATATTTAGCAAATTAATTGAAATTCGGATAAAGTTATCCAAACCTTGAAAATATTGAATTATCAACTATTGTGTTGACTTTAAAAAATTCATTTTTTGTTATAAATATTTAAATATTCATTTAGTTTGGAGGACGAAATATAAATAAATAAATAAACAAATAAATAACTGTCTTTTATTTCGATTTTATGACATGAAAACAGCCCCCTACCTGATTAGCAACGGTCCCAAGTTGTCCAATCTGCTGAAGTTTATTTCGGAGAACTTGGAAACTTTCGTGAGAAGCCGGAAGAAGGTCGCGTAGGGACAGCACGTGCAGACCTGACGCCATTTCAATACATTCGTGTAGATGCTTTTGGTTCACGCCATTAAGTAGTGGTATGTCGTTCAGATTTGGTGTATCACAAGGGTCATTCATCAGATACATCTCTTTCACAGCTTTTAGAAATAAAATAAACAATACATGTTACTTTTAAGTGGCAAATAATAACCATTGCGAACGTCCCATTTGTTATACAGTTTTCCTCTTATTGGTGATCTAAAGGCATACACACCAGTGCAAACAAAGAAGCTGGATTAACGTGATTCAAATGTAAATGATTTGTAAGCAAAAATGTAACCATCCGCTCCCAGCAAATTTTATTTTTATTCTTAAAATTAGCAGGTACCTGGCACCAAACAAGCAAACAATGATTCAATAGATTCAACAAAGACCTGATATAATTTTTCGCACTTACACATACTTTCAAATTTCAAATTTAAATATAAAATGAATAGTTTTTTAGTGTCCAATCGATATTCATGTATACCATGTACATGTATATTTCACGATAATGAATTTGAATTATATCTAAGCTAAACAGAATTCAAGAATGTTACACAAATATTAATACTCCAAACTTGAAAACTGGCAAATTATTAATCAAACTCAATCCGATGAATACAGTAAACGTTTCTCAATTTCAATAAAACACAGTTAAGATGGACGCACTTTTCAACAACACACGCCGTCTTTTGGTAAGATATAAGTAAAGTTATACGGAATTCAAGCCATTTTACACGAAATAAAAACCAAAATAAGTAAAGCTTAACACTTGAAATTTCAGAAAAAAACTTAACAAACATACCTTTGAAAGGATCTTTGTCCAGCCCTAATGCCGCCTCCACTTCTACATCTAGTTCGTTGTTTTCATGTTGGTTTTGTGAGAATATTCTATCAATGACGAGTTCTGCATCAATCATTAGTTTTGGTTTCGAACCAGAAGGCGACGACGCACTACTTTTGTTTGTTTTGATACTGCAAGTTTCTGAATCTTCTGATGTTGGTTGGTTTAAAAAGGCTTCATCTGTTACCGCAAGATGGTTTTCACTTGGGGATCTATGCGCTTTTGTTGGGCTTTCACGAACAATTTCTTCTAATGGGACCTGTTTCTTCTTTCTACGCCGTGTACCTCCGGATTTGCTATTAGGTTTATTGTTCGCAGATTTTTGGGTTTGCCCCGAGTTGAAATTTTTAGTTGGACTTGGAGAACGGGATCGCGGTTTTGTTTCAAAGAAACCCTTTGCAGCAAGGTTTTCAAATAGTTCTTGGTCATCAGGTTGGTCCTCGATCATGCTTTCAGCAGTGGCCGGTCTGGAGTCAAAATTATTAGCTTTTCTCTCATCCGGGTCTGCATCTATAACGGACGTTCGTAAGGGCACCCCTTTCATAACAAGTTCTCTGTATCTTTTAGATGCCTTTGACGTTGATGATTCGGCCACACTTGCTGTATCTGAAATATCAGTAGTATCTACATTTGTCGTTGGTATTTCAGGTGAAATTGGTCTGCTTAGTTTTCGTCCTGGTGAAAATGGTTTTGATGGTCCTGTTGTGGGAGGACCAATTGTTGTTGGAGACAAAGTTTTTGAAAGAGCCGTCTTTAATGTTCGATTATTTGTAGGTTGGACGTTTGGTGACATCGGACGACTCATAGGTGACATCGGCCTTGAACTACTAGGAGATTTTGGTGACATAGGTCTGGCGTCCGGTGACATAGGTCTAGATGTTTTATTAACATTATCATATTCATTCGAAATAAATTGTCTCGCTGATGCTGGAGAAAGAGATCTGCTTGGGGAATTCGGTCGGCCAACAGGGGACATAACTCGACACGGTGGTGACATAGATCTGCTGTGTAGAGCATCTGGTCGACTAGATACTGTTGTATACGGTGTTATGTTTAAAGAATTTTTATGTCTATGTGGAACAGCACGTTTTCTGTTTCTCATATTCTTAACTTTTTCATGAGATGTCATATCTTTTCTACCATCTCTGTTTATTGTTTGTATATTTTTATTTTCACTTACATTTTCACTACTTTCCATATGCTCAGGAAGACAAACCACTGGAGGTAGGTTCTTGTTCGCAACATTATTTGATTTCGATTCAAAGTTACCATCAATCATTTTGTAATTCCTTGCCCATGAGTCAACAATACCTTTATTACTTCCCATTTGGAACTGGGCATTTAAATGCAATTTTCTATTCGTAAATGCATCTGACATTTCACTACTTATTGAGCTGCTTTCAAAACCACTATCAACTCGCGAAGACGGCGTGGGAATCATTTTTCTATTTCCGGAAAGTTTTTCGATATTCGCCATGTGATAATCGGTGTCATAATGATCACTGTCTGCTTGTGAAGAAAGTGATGATAATTCACCACTTGTAAGTGAAGTATCAGCCGGTCTTGATCTTTCACTTGAACTAAGAGTGCTTCCACTTCCATTGCTACTAAAACTTGAATACCGTTTGACATTATTAACGCGAGTGTTGTGATTAGTGACAGAAAAACTCTCACTAGTAGGTACAGGCACAGTAATAAGTTCACTATCATTTGGCTCAGTTTCAGTGTCACTTGTACAAGACACAACTTTCCGAACAGTTGCATATTTTACTGATAAGTCTGTTTGTCCCCGTTCTGATACTTGTCTCGGCACAGATTGTTTGCCTTTATTTTGAATAGCTCGTCTGAGCGCAGCTCTCGCTCGGTTTCGCTTTGCGTATGTGATGGCTTTAGTGTCCTGGAATACAGGGTTATGCTCAAGTGGCTTTTCAGCAGCTGGCTTATTAACAACAGGTGTTCTCGACCTTTTGAGTGGAGCTGACCTAGCTCTTTCAAGCCTTGGATCATTCGTATTTTGGTATTCATTACGCTGTGATTGGGTATTAACCTGAGAATTTCTGAAGCTTACAATTTTCATTTTACCTGAACTATTGTTATTGCCAGGACTCATATTATTATCATACATTTCATCACTTCGAATCACTGTTTTAACGGTATCTTCCTTTCTCCTTTTCTCCTCAAGTTTCAACTCTACCACGTTTATTAACATTTCGCGTTTGTCCTCAGGAATATCGTTCATGGTTATCTGCTTCGATTTCAACATTTCGTAATAGTCAATAAGCTCAAACTTTGATTTTGACAATTGTGTGAAATTGAACTTCTTTTTTGAAGATTCACTTGTTCTTGCATTGTCTCTTTCCGCCATAATGTCACTGACGGTTATTTCTGGTTTTCGGTATTCAAATGTATCAGCCATTCCGGGTAAGCAGTCTAATATGTCATCCATGTCATCTTCGTCAAGATCTTCAGGTGTGGATATAAATGACCACAAACTTGATCTCGACTCACCAGAAACTGTTTTCTTTAACTTGTTTGATGCCTTTTTGTTCACTTGAGTGTAATACTGTTCATCAATGATATCCCAAACTTCTGCTTTATTCGGTTTAGCTTCTTTGACTTTCACCTGCCTTGGAAATGAAGACTGACCCGGGTTAATATCTTCTTCCTCTATAGCGTCTAAATGATTTTCCTCATCTGTAGGCTTTGCTTTGAAGACTGACACGGTGGTATCATTGCTTGTTATCGATTTCAATATCGATGTCGGCTTTGTTAGCCATTTCCCATCCTTTCGCTTTTCATTCATTTCGGCATCGGACTTAACAAAAGCTTCCATTTTACCGTTCTTGAATATTTCTTCTTCTGATTTCTTCCTACTGAAAGAAAATTTTCTTTCTTTCTTGTTTAAAGAAGAACTTGTTTTAGTTTCCTTTCTTAGTTTTTGTAAAGTCTCATCTTTCATAGGGTCAGGCGAAACACATCTTCCATTTTCTAACTGTACACTTATGTTTGGAGGTGAAGATTTGCTGCTTGAACTACTGACAGTTGTCAACTTTGATTTTGTGCCATGTCGTTTACTTTTAATTTTTGGCTTTTCATAGCTTCTGTTGGAATAGTCATTAATCTCGAACTCATTTTTGTTCTTACTTTTTGAACTTGTTTTGCTTGTAAACATAGTTTGATTCTGCATTTCGTCGTTAACCTTATTTTCATTGTCACTTTCAACTACTGTATCAGGCGTACTTAGATCCCTTCCATCAAAAGCAGGTGACATTACACGCCGCGGGGAAGTCAGATTTGCTAATGAACCAGTTTCCTTCTTCCCTACTTTAAAATTGTCTTCACTTTCATCACTAGAAAACCCGTCATTATCATGAATTGCATGAAACATTCTATGCGTATCTTCAACTTCGTACGAATATTGTGCCTGAAATTCATCCTCCTCATCAGATATAACACTTGTCAAGTTTAGTTTCAGAGGAACATGATCCGCACTATAATGAGTGTATCGGTTTTGAAATCGTTTTTCGGACATTCTTGTTACAACTTCGAGCGCAATAAGGGCGAAAGAGCGTATATCTGGCAGAAAGAAATGTCGTTTGTCTTTTATTGAGTTATCCAAACTTTGCTGTAATGTTCCATATATATGAGCTTCCTCGAAATCACCAACCGCTGCTCTCAGAACCATACTCTGAAATAAAAGAATGTATTATTTAATCACACGAAAAAAATTAGTCTGTCCAATAATCTTAAATGTTATAGATATTTGATTCAATTTAAAACTATTGCTAAAATAATTTTTCATAATTTATTTGCATAGCTTAAATACAGATTTTTAATCTTAAAATGACAAGAATACTTTAGTAAACTCAAAGCTGTGACTGACACCACAAATCCTTTAATATACTTTAAAATCCGACAAAATAAGTGCAGAAATCGATAGATACGTGAAATTAGTAAAACAAGAAAAAGAAGAATATAATGGTGAAATTAGGAACATCTCTGAGTTAAAACTGTACATATATACACAATGGTGAAATTATGTACATTTCTTTGTAAAAACTGCACCTATATACATATATACGAACCATATAATTGTTAACTTAAACATGCTTTTATCATTGTTATTATTTCATGTTAGGTCAAAATTACTTTTTTACTAGTCTAGATAAGTAGTAAAATATGATCAAGTATTTAGCGTGTCATAAACGAAAAAATAGACGAAAACTAGTATGCTGTTCATATTGTCTTTATAATCCTAATTGGTGATCATATTTTCTTAATAAAATATTTGTTGACCATATTGTTTTAAAATCTTATTTGGTGGACATGTTGTCTTTATAATCGTATATATTGGTCATATTGTCTTCATAATCTTATATGTGGCAAATATTGTCCTTAAATTCGTATTTATTGGTCAAATTGTCTTCATCATGCATATCTTTCATAAACCTTTATGTTGATCATATTGTCTTTATTATTGTATATCTTCCTCAAATTGTCTCCATAATCGTTTCTGTTGGTCATATTGCCTTAATCATCGCATATCTTCGTCAAATTGTCTTCATTATCGTTTCTGTTGGTCATATTGCCTTAATCATCGCATATCTTCGTCAAATTGTCTTCATTATCGTTTATGTTGGCCATTTTGTCTTCATCATCGTATATCTTCGTCAAATTGTCTCCATTATCGTTTATGTTGGTCATATTGTCTTCATTACCGTATATCTTCGTCAAATTATCTCCATAATCGTTTATGTTGGCCATTTTGTCTTCATCATCGTATATCTTTGTCAAATTGTCTTCATAACCGTATATGTTGGTCATATTCTCTTTAAATTATACTGGTGGTCTTTTAAAAGAGAGACTGATACTGAATTGGTTTAATTTGTACAACAAATAGTGCCACTAGTTTATCAACTGTTTTTAATCCGACAGTTATCTCTTTTTTTAAAAAAAATATCTAAATGAGGAAACATTGAAACATAAAGATATCAGTTGTTAACTTATATAGTGTAGTGACCACACAATGTTAGATGAGGAGGACACGGTGGCGCCCCCTGTCCGTGCAAATAACTTACTCGTGTGTTCCCTTTGTAAGAATCTGGCTGTAATAGTAGCGTTTATAATGTGAAAATAATCATGCTACTATTAAAAAGTGCTACATGTGATCAGAAAAGAATATATTAATAAATTTTGTCAGAACTTGAACTGAAAGATAAGAAATGTCAAGAATTCAAATTCAGGGAATCTTCGTTTAAAGATGAACAAGATATCTAATTTACTCGCATAAAAATTAGCTGACCAGCATTTGACATTAATGTCGGATTACTCTATATGATAAGAAAATAGCAAGGCTACTTTTTAAAATTACATATATATGTTAGAATGAATAAGCCTTGACAAAAATTGACTTCTTTATTTAAGAAATCAGTCCATATATAATTATCATTAAATAGTAATTGCAATATATGTTACAGCAGGGAAAAATACATGATAGAAACATGGTAGTGAGCAACTTAAGCTGCTGTAACCGGAAGTTTTTAATCTTTATAGAGCGAGGCCAGCGTAGACACCCGTACAGTCTGACGTTTTTGATAGTATTTTTGATATTGAAATTCCTTAAACATCGAATGGACTGATCTAAATTCAAAGCAGGGCAAACACTGCAGTAACGTTACAGTCAGCAAGTAAATGTTAGAAAGTTCTACAATACAATGTACATGTACTCTAATTATGTCTAGAAAATAAAGATTACTAGGAAAATAAATGTGAATATTTATAGAGCAGAGAAAATACACATACTCGTATAAAAAAAATTTACAGATTGGAACCGCTACCTTTTTAGAATCGTTGCGATAAATAACTTATGTTTTTTGCCAGAATAATAATTCGTTCTATAGGTAGGTTATAAGTGCTGAATAATCACTTTTATGAATGTCATGATTATGATTAGCCATAAGGCATATAATTGTTAATTACTTGCTACTACAGATTCTAATAGTCTACTTAGGAACCTAAGAACTTTTTTTTACTGAGGAGAAAAGGGGGTAGGCGTAGTTCTTTTTTCTGTGCTTTTTTGCATTACCTGTAATGAGCCTTTGAGGTAAATGCATGATGTAGTCAAGTTATTATGTAGAATATTTTCATGGTGGAGATAGAACAATCCCTCGGCCACATCATGAACTATCATACGTTGACACTGTTCCGGAAGCGGAAGTTCTACTTTCTGCAGAAAATCATGAAGCGTCCCACCATTTGTCAGCTCCAGGCATATAATTCTATAATTGTGAAGATTAATTTTTAGATAGATTATTAATACATGTACTGTGGTTATAATGATAATTACAAAATTATTAATACTGTACTACTTATACTGCTGCTGCTGCTGCTGATGATGATGATAATAGTAATAATAATAATGATGATAATAATAATGATGAGTTTCGAATAAAATCACACCATTCTTAAGAACATTTTGTTTATTTCCTTTTTGCATTTAACAGTTCAGAAAGCTTGTCAACTCCATTGCATAATATTTAGCATATACGAAATAATTTCCGACTTTGACAAAATGTTCAGCAGCGGTCTTCAATACTGCAACATACAGATTCTGGTACCAGGATTGCAAGTTTGAAAAAAAGCTGGTGATTTTAGTGTAAATACTTGTTAAAAACATGATCACCTTACTTTGTTTGTTTCATTTTACGCCTTTTCCCCAACAGTATTTCAGTCATATAGGCGGGTAGTTTCCTAACCATCGTTCCTGGAGGGTTACACCAGTACTAGACGACCTTCCTCCGTGCTAAACTACAAAAGCATCTCCCGGGGTGTGATCATCTTACACCATATATCTAAACCACTTAAGTATAAAATCCCCCCCCCCCCCGTTTTCAAGCCTAATAAACCATTGATTGATACTGTATCTTAAAATATCACGTTACGGCCAAGGATAAGTTATATTTTCTCACACTGTGTGTAACCAGATCATGCAAATATTCGTGCATACCAATTGATGTGAAAAGAAAAATTCATACGGGTTCGATAATCATTGAAATAATCTAAGAAATCTATATCATTTAAGAGCGATATATAACATTGCTCATGGAGTTTCCAACTGGTTCATAGTTTGATAGCTGGAAACTATAAAACTTTGATTAGTTACATTGCTTACTGCAAAATCATTATTATTCATTGGGCACTAATTTCAGTAGTATTATTGAATTTAAATCAAATGGAGGGGGGGGGGGTAAATGGTAAAATCAATGAATTTTAGATCCGACGGAATTTTATTCCTTAAACTGTAAGATTATTCTTGTACTATATCATTTGAATTTTACTTCAAAAATATTCAACGAATTTAAAAACCTACAAGAAATGCTTTTTGACAAAACCACGGAAATTTATGCCGAAATCACAGTATTAAGTTAATATAAATTAATTAAGAAGTATTAATACCTCGAGTCACTTGTAATTATTTCCCCTGATATAAGAGTCATCGTCTCATAATAGGGATTCGAACTGTTTGTCCACAGACATTGTATTAGACTCGGGTGCTGAATCCGCCTCAACATTCCTAACATAACAATCTCCTGGGCCCAGGATTTCAGGTGATTGGTTCCGTAAACCTTCATTAGCCCTCTTTTTGTAGCATGCTTTCCAATCGTCCATGTCGCCTTCATGCGAAGTTTCCCAGTTGCCTGTAACGAAATATTAAAAAGTTCTTCAGGAAATTGATACTACAAAAATGACAATAACACTATTTTACATATTGGAGTATTGATTTATTAAAGTATCAAACGACAATATTTTTTAAGTATTGCGGCACTTCCTTATTTCGTGGCTTTTAATCAGGTATAGTGGGTCTATTTAAGTTTTTAGAAGGTAGTAAATAAGTGACGTGGTAGACCTTGTAGATTTTACATTGTTATTTGATATGACAGTCAAAACAATGGCTGCACGACACCCTGTTATACATTTTGCTTTGGTTAAATTAAAACCAAGCATAGCTATAACTTTGATACCGCAACATTATTTTTTTACAATAAGTTTTGAATTAAACAAAACGTTGAACAACCAAAATAAAAGTGAACAAAGTTCAACTAAATCATCTTTAATACTAACTGAAATCATTATCTTAGAATTAAAACAGGTGAAAAATACAGTTTCAACTTGAAATGTATATATTTTCTTGTTTAATGGAACAAGTAATATTGTAATTAATGGACCAAGCAAAGTTATCTTTGATCTTTTCAAAACTTTTTCTATTGACTCGGTTAAAGTATTCACAAAACGGCGTCTGTTTGTGATTACGGGTGATATAAGCATTTTGGTTAACCTATATTTTATATTTAAATTCAAAGCCTTATACAAAATCAATTGGCACGGCATGGTAAATATGTAATACAGGTATTAAGGGTATTAGATAGCAGACGACCGTGGGTTTTCTTCGTACAATCTAGTAAATCTAATCATGTAAACATGCTGAAACAACGCCATGCCATGTTGTGATTTATACACCAAATATAATATAATCTGCACCGAATAAAAAAAACAGATAAGACCAAACAATTGAAAGTTACGATGTTTTAAACTTGAAAAAAAAAAGATAAGTGGATGATAATATCCTTGACAAACGTCAACTTTTACGTCAAACTTAAATGTATTGAGATTGAGATTTTGACAAGTAAATGATTGAAATTAGTATTTATACAATATAAAAGTTATAATTATTAATAATGAAAATGTTGATATAAGAAAAGCAGAAAAGTATAGCATATTGAAGGTCCCTATAGAGTTATACTTTGCAAGGAGTGCTGTAGGCATCCTAAGTTCTATTAACAAAACATTATTTATCTGTATATATCGAAATAATACTAATACATTCTCACTTGTATATAACTTGAAATATTAATTAACAAGAACTATTCCAAGTAAGGAGTGCTATAACCGCCCTAAGTTCTGTAAACAAACGTTATTTAACTGTACTGTATATATCGAAAATTATACATTCACACTTTATCACGGAAATATTTATTCCAAGAAAGATAACAAGATAGGTGTTCAATATTCAGGACAATTATTTTGCCAAAAGTCAGTCTTATAAGCCATACGACAAATGTTGTGTGGTAGTTCCAAAATTTTGTCAGTGTTGGTATACATATATTGTGTTCTAGTTCGTTTCCAAGACTTAAGTATTGAATACCGCTCAAGCCGGTGCTAGGGGGCATCAGTTATATTGAACTTTATAAATATTATGCCATTAACAGACACGGTAAATTTCGACGACATGTATTTGTTTTTGTGTTCATTACTCCCGAGGGATCTTCTCTTTCCAGAATTTTTATAGTTTATACATCATCGGAAACAATACAAGACGATTGTAGTGATTACGTCAGTATTACAGCAATGACGTATTTGTCGATTTCAAAATTCTAAATCCTCATAGATTTACAGATTTCTTTTTTTTTTCTTCTTTTTTATGCATTGAACATATCCGATTTTAATTTGTTTGTTTAAAATATAAGAAATCTGAGCGACAGATTAACTACTATGTAAACACATAAAATGTAATTACAGTTTACTTATTTACTAGTTTTGTCAATTCAACTTAAGTTTATAACACGGCTCATAAATTTATCCTGCGCATGTGTTATAAATACAGTAGTATAATGATATATTAATGGCATTGTATTTTTCAGTTCGAAATGATATTCCAACATTTTAAATCATCATAAAAAATGCGGATATATATGGAAAACTTGCAAAGTCATGAAAATAAAAGCTTATTTTTTCGGGTTTTTTTTGGTCATTGTTTCTTGTGAATAAAATATTGTACCAGTTGCTGATTCATCCCTTTTCACATACACGTTCAACTGTCGTGCTACTGGTCCCTATTCGATGGTTTCGTTATTTAACGTTGCTCTGAATGTACTTATTAGATGTTACTGACACCATGAAAGTCTATGATAACTGTAAGGTGGTATCATTTTTATTTGTTCCAAATCAATTCTGTTTCAGTTCTTATCAATTCACTTACAACATGTCCCTCTCCTTTCGGCGCTCCTGTGTTCTCTCCCGGTTTTAATTCGGTGCCTTCTGGGTGTCCTGCTGTTGTGGCTGGATTGTGTCGGGGCTGCATCTTGTGAACTAACCTTTGTCTTGTTGATATTTGTTCTCATTTTTTTCTTTACTTGTGTATCTAATATACATATACATTAAAATATTTGCCTTTTTACTGTTTTTCTTATCAGTTTTTTAAATCTTGTAATACATATTGGCTAATCTCATGGGACTTTCTATTTGTTTGTTTGTTTCATTTTACGCCTTTTCCCAACAGTATTTCAGTCATATAGGCGGGTAGTTTCCTAACCATCGTTCCTGGAGAGTTACACCAGTACTAGACTACCTTCCTCCGTGCTATGGGACTTTCTACTTCACTTCAGTGTTGTTACATTTTTCTGGTATTTTTAAGTGTTGAAAATTGAGTACGCCTTAGCCGGTGCTAGGGGGCATGAGGGATGCTGCACTTTTTCATTATCCCTCATGCACAGACTCAATCAAACCGAGTCTGCAATTTTCATGTAATTTTGTTATGATTAATGCTTCCGAGGGATCACACTTTATCCAGATTGTTTTCCCTACTCATAGCAACTTGCAGAAACACGTTAAAAGTTTAGCTGGTGGTTGTTGTGTTTGTTTTGTGAAATAATGAGATTTTCTTTTATAAAACCCCTCATATTTTAGGTCAAAACACAGTATGTGAACTTTATCTTTTAATCTATCAGACGACCTCAGTTTGATATTTATTTGTTCCCCCTTTGATCTGGACCTAATATGGCGTCTATGTTAACTATGTTAACGTACAATTCGAAATCTTTTATCTATGATAGGTCATATTCTTTTCCATTTGCTCCAAATACACTTCATGTTTCAAACTAATATTTATCTTTGTATAAAGAGATTCCTTGATTGCAACAACAATTTCTTCATAAAAACATCTGCCCTTCTTTTTCAGCTAGATTGGCACAGAATATATCCATAAATTTGCGTTTAGCCTTTTAACATTGAATATCACTCCAAATTGAGGGTAAGGTTGAAGCAATATTTTCAATCAGTTATTTTGTTAGGTGTTTTTGGGGGGTTTTGTTTTGTTTTGTTTTCAGTCTACTTATTCAGTTATAAAATACTCGTATAATATTCGTATGCAATGCTTTATAATCTTTCCTCTTAAAAATATATTCTGTCACAAGGGCAAATTTATCATTGTGCATAGAAATCTTAAATTTAATAAATACTAAAGTAGTGTTCTACATTTCCTTAATTTGCAAGACATAATTTACTGAAAAAAAAACAACTGAGAACATACAGACATAAAGAAATGAATTCAAAATGCATTTCTGATGTATATTTTCAAATTAATCATTTTCAGTAAAATGTACCACAGGAGCCTCAGATTCCATTAAAGAGCATACCTGTCGTTCATCACTCTAGCCATTTACTTTTACATAATAGCATTATTTCGTATTTATTCATCTACATCATATTTGCATAAATGAATATTGAATAAGTTATGTAAGAAAGGCATAATGTTGATATTTATATATTGGTCTTATATACCATTGTTGAAATTATACTTATATCAATAAAGTGTGAAGATTTTTCGCCTTTGTTTGCCTCATTTGATTCCAAACCTTTTACAGTTAAAGAATGAATCCCTTTAAGCCAGTGCTAAGGGACGAAATTGATATTGTGTTTACTAAAATCTCACAGTAACATGGTAATAAGAAATCAATTTAATCTATTGCTAAATATTAAATACTGTTTAAAATAGATGACATAGAAGCTTTTAAATGCTGAAGATCCCAGTATAAGCAGTATAAGTAAGTTCATGAAAGACAGTGGTAAGTACACAAGCAACGTTCTACGTCCCTACAACTTGCTTAAGCTGAGTTCAACAGTTATTCCCTGCGGTCTGGAGACCGCAGGGTATTGGTACGCGTTTAACTTTTGAGGCATGGAGGAGCACGTGACCTGTTTTCGGTACATGGAGGAGCATGTGATCTGTAAACCGTATATGATTGGTTAATTGACCTTTTCGAAAACCTAGCTAAATACCGTTTGCCGTTACGTTCTAGGGAATTAGTCCAAATTGCACCTCATTAAGAACAAAAAACTATTACGTGATATTTCTAATTTTCTATAATTATTTACCGTTTAAGGTGGAAAAACTTGAATGATGTGTTTGAAAGTTAGAGGTAAACCTCTAGATATTCTTTAATATCTATCTCAAATTTTACAAACAATAAATTGTTTATGCTGAAAATCTACACGATTAAAAATACGTAGTGGCATCTAATAAATAAGATATTTTCAGCGTAAACTTGTGTGTTTACTTTTTTGCTCGGAATTATTCATAAAATGGTAGGCCTATTTAATAATTTTCTTAAAAGAAATAATTGTTTTATGTTCGACCTTCTCTGGTCTTCAACGGTCACCAGTTTTCAAAGACCTTCTTCTATATTGATCGATTATTGTCAACTATATTCCTGATGCAAACGTTTATTTATCCCCCACCCCAAACAATGTTGGAATTAGTTAAATGAAATATCTTTATATCATTAAAAATGTTCCCCGCAGGAAACCATTTTACTTGTACATAAGAGAACTAGGAGTCCCCTGAGATGAGATGTTACCATGTAGGAATCAAATGTGATGAGTCTATCCTTGCAGCCTGGCCTAGCACTATGCTGTGGTAAGCATTATTTTGTATGTCGGTACAAAGCAGCCCGACTGCTTTGATTGGACTACCCAGAACAAACTCATTATACAAAGTCAGCAGCGTATCAACTTTATGAAATAAAATCTATAATTTTATTACAAATGTATTGTGAAGTCATTGTTCTCAAAATACCTTCATTGTTAGTTTTGAAGACTGAATATTGTTTATGAACAGAGCCGACCAAACGTAGCCGCCCCTACAATTACATTTATCCTTTTCTATTTCTTTGCTATGCATTGTTTTCTTTTGTTTAGTGTTGGAGATTCAATACCGCTTGTGCCGTTATAAAGAGTCGTAAGAAATGTTACACTTTTATTTGTCCTTTATTTTGTTTTTGATACATAAGTGTTGTTTTTTTTTCTTTCGACATCTTTATACAATTGCTACTTTTTGCCTGAAATGCTTTTAGATTCTAGTTGAGAGCAGGCTAATAAACGCAACAATTACATGTAACTTTGTCATCTTTCTTTTTCCTATCTTTCAAGTAGATTAATCCTGCATTTTCTTGAATAGTTTAATTTGCAATTTTAGACGGTAGAATTTAGCTTACACTCATTTTCATTGGAAAAGTGATTGTTGAACACACTTGACTTGACAAGAAAAAACATCGGGTTATATGAAGAAATGCATTACAAAACACTTATTATCTTCGCCCTGTTTTTGAAATTGTCAAATTACAACCAGCTTGTTTACGATGGTATTAAAATGATAGACAGTTTTACGTCAGTATAATCATATCTGATGTAATTATATATCACTTGCAAACTTTTTCCTCAATTTTATTGAGTGAATTAATAATCAGATTTGATCATGTGTTATAAATAAACAAGGCTTCTAAACGTGTGTATAGATACGACATTGTATTAATCAGTTCAGTGGCTCATTTTTGGACAATTTGACTTGTCAAGAAAACTTGGAGAGTCATATTATCGAAACCGCAGTTTATTGTCAATATTTTTTATATCATTTTTGACGTATTTTTGTAACTGGCAATAGAGAACTAACATTTCCAAAACTGAAACAGAATGAAAATTCTATTAAGGAAAGGTACGCGTTATTTGGTCCATTTTTTCCAAACTTCACCCTCTCCCAGCCCCGTATACATACATATAATATAAAATACACCTAACAAATTACTGTGGTTGGTATTTTTTTATATCATTGCATGTCTATAGCGTATACGAGATGTAGAAAATAAAATGATTTACAATTTGAAAAATAATTTAGCACTCTGGTACCAGATATTTTGGGTGTTGGACAAATATGAGTTTTTTCCCCCTGATTTTTGGTTTGTCCCCATGTCAAGTCATCGACAAATTTGTAATGCTTTACTTTTCAATTCGGCATGGAAGTTTGATATTTACTTATGCTAACTTTGATCTGGACCTAACGCGACGTTGTAATAAAATGTTATCTAATAAAAACTTAAGTCCCTTAACATTGTCACCTCAATTTCCTTTATACTTGCTCGAATAAAATACCTTTTATTTACTCATGTATGATGGAAATGTTGGTAAGGTTGATTTTGCCGAATTTTGCTAACTAAAACATACTATAATGTAATTTATCAATAATTGCAACGATATTCGGCAATGACACTGACTACCTCTTTAAGAAAGAAATTAAAACTTTTTATAAATATCAAAGACACCATATCAAAAATATAATATTGTTGAAATTGTTCAAATTTCCTACTAAATTGTATAATAAATCAATGTGAATATCTTATTCATAATCAATAGCTTTGAACCCGGTTATCATTTTATTCTGTTCAAAGGAAAGACTTTCTGCTTTTGGGTACAGTACGTATTGACATTACAATGCATTCAGCTCTTGTTTATGATGTAGATACATGATACATGACAAATAAAGCTGAGTAAATTAAACAAGTGAGTGAGAAATGCATTTCAAAAGATATTTTGTATTTGAAATCTGTTTCGATAGTCTGAATACCTAGATGGCAATGACTCTAGTTTCTTTTTTATCTTAACCACGTTTAATATCTTTAATGGACTTGCTCATTAAATGGACTTGGTTCTCCTGGGCTCCTTGTCGCTGGTTATTGTTGCTGGGTCGTGTGGGGGATGCCTTCATTGAACGCCACATTTCCTTGTTGATCTTGTCTATCATATTTTTCTTTCATTTTTAACGTGAACCAGCAAAACCAGTCATAATTTTTAGGGAAAAATTAAAACAAATTAACTGACTGAATAGCAGATGATGCTCAGATGGCAGAGAGGTGCCGGTGGATATTGGTCTGCACTGGTCACGTGGGTAGAATCAGTTGCCGTCAGCATGGTAAAGGTTGGGTAAATGTGCCGATACTTCAGATATTTTAATTGGGCTAGCTGCGCAAAATATTTTCCTAAAAAGTGGACTCCAGTTCATTTTTCATAAAAACGGGTTATGATATTTGCGGTTACGAACTGTCATATAAATGATAATACTTCAATGTGAAGTTATAGTATTAGGATATACGTAGCCAATATATGATAAAAAAAACTATTAAGTACGACGTAATTCAAATTAAATAAAATTTCAATAAAATGTTCATTACTCTCAAGTATAACACTTTAGTCATATAAAACAGTTTGAAAATATTCAAATTTTAAGTAGATATGTACATATACTGACAAAAAATTACCCGGCATTGTAAAATAACACTCAACTTACAATAAGAGTTATAAACTATAGAAAAATATTTGTTCACTAAATTACTGTCACAAAAAGAATTTTTAAAGTCACTTAAATTTTTAAAGTAGATATTTTACATTCGGCTTAAACTAGTCAAGCTATGATAACATTTACTGCTACAATTTTTAAGATATTCAATAGAATTTATCGAACATTGGTATTGATTTTGCTTTTAAAAAAAGGCCAATTTAAGTTCAAAATTCACCGATTTTAAAAAGACGATCGAGTACAATGTTACGCCATATTGGGATACAATTGCAAATTGGATAAGCATGACCAAATCTGATCAGGTTTTGATCTTACTAATTAGTAATTGATAACTACATTTGTCAATAGACACGACATGCGATTAAGTTTAACATACCCACCATTAACCTTATACCAGCTGGAACCGGAAATGGTTAACCCTTGCTACCGGTATAGAGCCAGGCCAGCCAGCACATCCGTGAAGTCTTACCAGACTCTATACTGTCGGCTTATTAACTTTAAATTTTCCATTTTGATATCCCCAAAATTGACAGTTTCGAAAATGAGAATTTCTTAAAAAGTTCATTAATACATTACACAACATTCGCTATTTATGCGACTGATATACTGAATCATGATAGTACTATAAAATGTTTATATATAATGTATATATATATGTAATGTATATATTGTATATATAATTATGTATAATATATATAGTGATGTGATCTTTCATTTTCAGTTGAGTCGTTAAAGCAAGGACTATGAAAATAGTTTGCTTATGTTTTTAGAGCTTATTATTAGACCATTTTTGCCTCTTGTTGGGGAGGGGGGGGGGGGGTACTCATTACAAAAGTACCTAAAAAGACACTAAAATTTCAAGATAGGATTTAAAAATAGATACTGTTTATTGTGATATCATTTTTATCGTTGTTATTGTGTTTGGCGGCGTAATTCATTACTTTATTTCAACAGTATTAATTAATTCAAGTTCTCTAAACGTTTTAAATATCAGCATTAGGGAGAAAATTGGAAAATTCAATTTTATGTGCTTTGGGATATATTTGCGTAAGCGTTATTTAAAGAGACTTTTCAATTTTGCAAACAATTATAAATTTTACTTAAGCCAGGTGGATTCGAATTTGAAGTTAATCTTGCTAAATGGAGTCTAAGATAAGCACATTGATCTTGCCATTTCCCCTTGGTATGCCAATGACTAATAATGTGGTATATTAAAGCTATTTAACAAAGATAAAACTCAAAATAAACAAATACATGTATATCATCAAACATATAAAAAAAATCTATGTTCACTACCTTTAAATATCTTAATTAATTAAACTATGATAGGAATATTGGGAGATATGTCATGTTACAACATTTGAGGATCCATTTTCCAATTACATTATATAAAACCGAATACTGTCGAAAAAGAAAGCTTAGACACTATAAATACTTTTACTAATTGTATATAAATAGCTTTTACAGGTCTCATTGTACGAAACATGGGCATAGAAATGATAGTACATGTCTATACAGTCATGTGAACTTACCTCAATGTTAATAAGTTCCAATTTCTTGAGTTTTCTGTGCGGCTCCTTGACCGCACTATTGTCTCGACAGCAGCAGGATGTCCACATCATATTGCATATGTTAGATACGACACAATGTACGATGACGGATACAACCAATGACGTCACAACCATCCATGTTTTATTGTTTTTGAAAGCATCTACATTCACATAGATTGCAAGAGTCGTAGTAAATATGACTAAAATATTTATCGCGTGTTCAATCACACAGGCTATAACAAGAACTTTTCCTTGAGTTATAAGTTGCGCTTGCCACACGTTATTCTGAGCTGTATTTATTCTATTGTTGAACTTCCACAGTTTCAGTACAATGATGACGTCACAAACACAAAGCGCAATGATAATCAACCACCATACAACAATTAACAATGTTCCATACGCGGCCCCTTGTTTTCCGTGATCTCGAATTGGAAAACAGGAAATATCATACGGTAAATTTTTGTCGTAAAGTTCGTCTGAAACGTAAGGCAAACAGGACAAAATGCAGCCGAGAATTACTTCCGGTGAAACAATAACAATCACAATATTTCTATGAAAATTTGAAATAGATGATGATTTTCCCGGATTTTGTATTGATAATAATATTATTCCAGTAGTAATATACGACAATAAACACTGAGTAATTCCGAATAAAAGGAAAAATCCTGCTGCGTCACACACTGAAGACTCATCCACGTGCTGATAGATAAAGAATAACACTAAACCAACAGACAAACAGCTGTTGGCTAAATCCTGATATATTAACGAATACTTCCACAGTTTAGGGTTTGTAAAGTCCTTGAACAGTTTTAAAACCACAGACAACACATTTGATATAACAGCTATAATTGCCAACACAAACAAAACTATACCTATCGAATCATTGTTTATGGCCATTCTACCCCCATCCTCTCCTTTTGTGCTTTACAATGGCAAATTTAAATCTATTTGAATATTCCTTTTAATATTTAATTCCAGTCACGTCACCTGTATTATGATACTGCTATTCCTTCTATATAAATGTTTAATTCAATTGCCCCGGTCATAAACCAATGAATATTTGTAATATATTATGCATGTTCTATTACAGCTTCTTATTCCACATTAAACGCTTCGGGTTTTGTTTACTGCAGTATAGGATAATCTACAATACAAAACAAAAATGATTGTTTAATACTATCATAAATAATAAAACGAAGTCGCTGAACCAAATAACTACTCTGTGACAAGAATGACAAAATAATTCGGTATATATGATACGTATGATATTGCATTATGTTTGGGATATACCGTCTTTATGTTTGATAACATCTATCGATTGATATTTAATTATAGTAATAAAATGTCATTGACTAATTCTAAAAGGGAATAAAAGACAAGGGTTCTATTTCTTTGCGGGAGCACGTGTGACAGTCGTTTCTTAAGAAGGTGTTTTTTGTAGAAATGGAAACCCAATGTATGATAAATGGGTGTCAAGTCGTAATATGATAAAAGTAGGTAAACAGATACAAAAGGCGTTGCACAATTAATGGAAATACAATGTATAAAAGAAAACAAATCGTCAAATTGCACGACGAATATACAGGTATCCCAGAAATAAAACACTACTCAAATTTAATTTAAGATTTCTCAACAACAGTCACACAAATTAAAAGATTTATTTAAACGTTGGATGAAATACTGTCCTGTACAATTTTATTATAAATTAATTATTTAAAGTTCGGATAGATTTGGAGATATTGCATATCAACTAAAGTCAAGAAATTTCAAGTTTATATATCAATTGGAATCTGGAAATAATCAATGCACCTGGAAAATGAAGGATATTAGAACAAAATACAAACAAATGTTAATAATACAAAATGCGAATGCAAAATTAAAACCCTTAAAGTTTAGTAAAATAAATTTCAAAGTTAATTAATACAAGACTTGGTAACCTATATCATTCTTAAATCATTACATAAATGACTCACACCAAACCTTAGATAACAGAACACCAATAAATACAATGCTGTTCTTGTTTCAATATCACTATTATAGCACGTTTAGTTACTTGATCCTATTTCCCATGATCCCAAAAAATCGAAGGAGGTCAAACACTATCAGCATGCCTCTTTTTCTGTGAACATTTAAATTCAAACATTCTTGGATCACTTTGTTTTATTTCTGCCACAGAATTTCTTACCGTTTTTTTTTTGTTTATTGCATTGAAATAACCTAATACCATCTTCTAGTCTTAAGATTGCGTATGTCTGCTGGAACCGCCGGACATACTTTGTCTTTCAAAATATCCAAAATCATTCGTTGATCTGTAAAGCACTTCTAATATTATCTTATTTATTTTGACAATAAAATAGTTATACTTGGTATACTCAAAAGAAAAGATTCTATGAACCTTAGCAACGTGAACGTGTGTAGATTAAAGACATGCAATTTCTGTGCAACTCGAAATATGAATAAAATTCAGTAAATAAGCATAATTCTAAATTTATATGAACATTTGAGCTGTAATTTTACATAAATTTATAAAATGTGTCATAAAAAGCTTTCAATTGCATTCAGTAATTTTTTTAGACATTTTTTAATTTTTCTTTTAATTTGAGTGTCATTTTTTGACGGACACACTGCACGCAGAGAAACGAATGTCGAAAAAGTATTATCTTTAGATATATCTTATCCTTATTCATAGTTCAATATATCTGCTATCAATTCTTAATGAAACTATATCCATTAACTGACTCCATGCTGATTGAAAGTTGATACTTTTATACTATTAATGCATATTGAAAAGAATTTTAATTAATTCGTCTCGAATCATATTGTTCGTTTTTCCCCTTTCAATTCTATTATAGTGTTTGTACAGACATTTTTCATTCTCACCATAATGGCATCATTTTTTTATGTTTTTTTACTTCAATAATTTTCATTTCGATAAAATCTTTCATACATTCAATTATACGCTAGTTGCTTTCCACCTTTTATATCAATATAACTTATTGTCAGTTACATTAGTTTAAAATTCAGTTATGACTGGTTATATAAAATCCATTTTCAATTTGCTAGAAACAATCATGTTTAAACTACATTTACAAGAAATTAATAGAAAAAATCGCTTTGGAAAAGACAGTATATACCTAACTTTGATAAATAAATTTAGGAAAAAACAATAACAACAACAAACAAACAAATAACTTGAGATGAGTTTTGACATTGTGTCATTTAGTGTGAGTATTCTACAGTCATTTATTATAGTCATAATAACAATTTCTTTTTGTTTAAATATACCTTGTACTAAACGTTATATGTTTTATATAGTTTCTGACATTGACCATTTCACTACGCCATCGTGTAAAAGTTGTATAAGACTGTACTTTTTGTGATTTTTAAAAATAATCTTAGCCTTTTCATATAATAAAACAATTATTGACTAGTGAACCATTAAATATGATGTGATATTCACTGGCAGAAAATCATATTGACCGAGGCGATGTCATCTGCCGGTGAATATCACATCATATTCAATGACTCACTAGTCAATAAGAATTGTTAAACGTAGCCTACTTTGTGCGCATGGGCAAACCGCCCGAATATATTTTTAAAAATATCTCCTGAAATTGGAATTGATATAATTCTTAGCATACTGCCCGGATGTATTTTGAAATAAACTCTTAAAATTGGTATGGATTTAATTCTTAAATTGATATACTCAAATATGTCATATTCTCTTTATGCCTGGCACAATTTTATATTACCAATTTCGTTAACTTTTTTCGACTTTGTATTGTTATGCTGGATCTATATTAATTAAAATATTTATGATTGCTTTTAATATGATAATATGTATAATATGTCTTCCATGTTTCAACTGAAATCTGATCACAATCCATTGACCATTTACAATTATATCTTATATTGTTTGTAATACTAGAATCTTTCAAAAATGTAATATATTATATTAATTCACTTTGATATTGTAATGGTATACTTTGCTACATTAGCTTATGGCCATGTCAAGTAATATTTGATATGGTCTTTCATTTAAAAGTATTCTTTTCATCTATTCATATTCTAATATATTTGACATTGCTTGTTATATTTGTTAAATGGTCAAAGATATTTTGTCTGACGATATGCCAATAAACTTGAAATTGTGATACATGTTTTACATTTTCTTTCAGATATTGATATTGCAAATTTGATACAAATTTTATTAGATTTGTTTCTGTAATAAAGATACCTTTTTAGATCACGTGGGTATTTTTCTGTCATATTAACACTTTTTAAATCGTATCAAATGATACTTGTTTTGCCAAGTAAAGTTCGGCTTGTCATATTTTATTTTCTACCATGATTTGATACCTCCTGCTATATGTTTAAAAAAGGTTGTTGGGGTTCTTTTCTTGACCAATTAACGCTTTTTTAAACATATTTTAGGTTATGTTCGTTTTTCTTCAAATTAAGTGAAGTAATTTTTATGATATTTTCATTTTTTTTAATCTGCGACGTCATCTTCTTCTCACAAGACAGGCAAATTTTTTATTTTATTTTTATATTTCCTCTGAAAAAGTAAAATGATAAAAATGAGATGACATAAAATCTGTTTGTTATTTTCTGTTGCACAAGCTCTTTTTGTCTACTTTTTAATCATGTACATTTATATTCTAGGCTCTATGATATTTTGTTCCTCTAGTTACATAATTAACGCTCATACGTTCTAAACTATTAACATATTTTATATTCTAACATATTTATGAACATATCTTTTTCCTAACATTATATAAATAAACCATCATACACAGAATGAAAGTAAAGAATTAGCAAAACTCTACCAGTTAAAATCAATCAAATGTCTGGGTCTTTTTTTAGTGAAAAATGATAACTGTTATTTTGTTGTGCTTAAATCTTTCAGAATTTTTGCAGAGGTTTTATAATACAGATTTCTACAGATTTGAATAGATCTTTTAAACCACCATATGTCAAAAACGTATGTATATAATTCAAGAAAATATTTATTTTATAATCATTGCATGCAATAAAAAATCAACAAGTACCATCCCTAATGTATTGGTGCATTTTATTTATGATCTCATTTACGATTTTTTATTGTAGATCTACAGTATGATATTTTTGTCACTTTTTTTCATTTTTTGAGAAATTGATGCTCACGGCTAGATATAAGATAATCATGCTTTTGATTTTCATGAATAGTGGAGACATGAATTTTATATGGTGAGGATATGAATTTTATATTGTGAGGACATGAATTTTATATTGTGAGGACATGAATTTTAAATGTTGAGGACATGAATTTTAAATGTTGAGGACATGAATTTTATATTGTGAGGACATGAATTTTATATTGTAAGGACATGAATTTTATATGGTGAGGACATGAATTTTATATGGTGAGGACATGAATTTTATATTGTGAGGACATGAATTTTATATTGTGAGGACATGAATTTTATATGGTGAGGACATGAATTTTATATGGTGAGGACATGAAATTTATATGATGAGGACATGAATTTTATATGGTGAGGACATGAATTTTATATGATGAGGACATGAATTTTATATGATGAGGACATGGATTTTTTATCGTGAGAACATGAATTTTATATGGTGAGGACATGAAATTTAATATTGTGAGGACATGAAATTTTATATGGTGAGGATATGAGTTTTATATGGCGAGGATATGAATTTTATATGGTGAGGACATGAATTTTATATTGTGAGGACATGAATTTTATATTGTAAGGACATGAATTTTATATTGTAAGGACATGAATTTTATATTGTAAGGACATAAATTGAATTTTATATGGTGAGGACATGCATTTTATATGGTGAGGACATGACTTTTATATTGTAAGGACATGAATTTTATATTGTAAGGACATGAATTTTATATTGTAAGGACATGCATTTTATATGGTGAGGACATGAATTTTATAATGCAAGGACATGAATTTTATATGGTGAGGACATTAATTTTATATTGTGTGGACATGAATTTTATATTGTGAGGACATGAATTTTATGTTGTGAGGACATGAATTTTATATTGTGAGGACATGAGTTTTATATATTGTGAGGACATGAATTGAACTTTATATGGTGAGGACAAAAATTTTATAGGGTCAGGACAAGAATTTTATAGGGTGAGGACATGAATTTTATAGGGTGAGGACATGAATTTTATAATTATGGTGAGGACATGAATTTTATATTGTAAGGACATGAATTTCATATGGTTAGGACATGAATTTTATATGGTGAGGACATGAATTTTATATTGTGAGGACATGAATTTTATATTGTAAGGAGGACATGAAATTTTATATGGTGAGGATATGAGTTTTATATGGCGAGGATATGAATTTTATATGGTAAGGACATTATTTTTACATTGTGAAGACTTGGAGTTTATATTGTGATGACATGAATTTTATATAGAGAGGATATGAATTTTATGTGATGGGAGAATAATTTCTATATGATGGAGACATGACTTTTATATTGCGAGGACATAAATTTTATATGATGAGGACATGAATTTTACATTGTGAGGACATGAATTTAATATGTTGATATCTGAGGACTTTATATGAAAAGGATATGAATTTTATATCGTGAGGACATGAATTTTTTTATGGTAAGGACATGAATTTTATATGGTGAGGACATTAATTCTAAAAAGTGAGAACTAACGATTTCACTATCAACATTAGTATTTGTTTTATTTGTTCGTCAACGCTGTCTTTTTTTTCAAATGAGAGATACATGTAAATGTGAAACAACGCACATATTTTTAAACACATGTAGAATTGAATAAATGAAATAAAACAACGAATATCGCAATATGTAAAACATGATAAAACTAATAATAAAAGCTGTTTCCTTTGTCATCCTTTGATAATTGTGATTTTTGCAAAGTTAATAGCGATACGACATTTAGCTTTCTTTCAAGTATTTCGGAAAATCTAATTAACAAACAAAATTATTTTCATCGACCTTATTCTCCTTTTAAGGGAACTGAAATTTAAGAGTTTAAAAATGTTATTTTTTTTTATCTTCAAAGTAAGTCAAATTAAGTTAAAGTGTGACATAAAGATAAAAAAAAACATTCACACACTTCAACTGTATGACTCACAAACGCGAATACGAGCGACAATCAGCCATGATTATTTAAAATAATGATAATTTATTTATTTTGGTTTTGTTGTTGTTGATTAATGATGTCTATAATAATGATTATGGCATTGAATATGATTATGATTATAATGATGATATTGATGATGATATGATGCTTATGATGATGATGATTATGATTATACTGGTGATGATGATGATGACGATGATGATTACGACGATGATGATGATGATGATGATGATGACGAAGACGATGACGATGACGATGATGATGATGATGATGATGATGATGATGATGATGATGATGATGATGATGATGACGAAGACGATGACGATGATGATGATGATGATGATGAGCATATCGATGATGATGATGATGACGATGATGTATCACTTATTATATTGTGCTTAAATATAAAAAAAGTAAAATAATAAAGAACTCACTCTTTTCGCATAGAAATTTACATAACATATATCCGTACATAAACATTTTTTCCATTAACTTTTGTTTAATTTCAATCATTGAACAATGCTTATATATTTATCTACATGTTTTCTAAAAAGTATTTGTGGCCTGCGATCGATTTCATTCGTAATTGAAAATTTCACACTTAATTCATTTGAATTAAAACAGCATCATTTAATCGATGTTCAGCTCTTCAGATACCCAGCACTTGTTCAATTATACATTTGCCATTTCTCTATGGATGCCAATATATACTTGAGGTAATTATGCGAAACAATTTATCATTTTCATGTTACAAAAGGAATTTAATTAAACTAGAAAATATAAAATCATTAAAACAGTGTTTTTCTAACTTATTTGGGAAGACGCCTTAGCCTCTTGTTTTTTGGAAATATCGTTAAAATTGCTAATTTGGGAAGCAAAAAAGCTGTTGTAAGTTTAGATTTTGGGCAAAACTACATGATTTAAAAAAAATCAATTGAGAATATGCCTTTTATAGGTCTCTGTTACAAAAGGTGAAAAATCACTGTAGAACCGTGTTTTAATAAATACAATTGTATGTTTTATTGTGTTTTACTCAGCCAGATTAATTGAAATAGATACACTCTCTCTATTCATCAAATCACATTTCAATCTAATCTTTAATGATAAATTTTAATGATCTAATTAAAAAACGAATATAAAACATGTTTAATTACTTTTGAACAGTCATTCTCCAAATCTAATTTGATATACTTGATAATTTATAGATTATTTGTATCGAAAGAACAATAAAAACAACATACTGTGTTTAAAAATACTTTAAACTCCGATGTCCGTCGTATATTTCTTGTTTTATAGTCGAGTTAAACTTTCCATATATTCTTTATTGTCCATTTAAATGAATTTATCCAACAATCTATAAATTCCATAAGAATGTTCACTGATATATTCTACGTTACAAGTCCTTGTTAAAATATTTATTTCTTTACACCGTACAAAATCACGTTACCTAAATCCGGGCGATTATTCACTTCGACACTTGTGATTTTTGAATATTTCACAAAGATAAGATATATCTTATAAATTACAACCGTCATTATATGATCGATCCGACTACTGGTTTGACCTCCCCCGTCAGTGATTACCGGTATTGATACGTTAAATTATCTATACATTTCAAGATCGCATTTATTGAAAAACCTTCATAAAACTTTTACCGATCCTTACTGGAGTGTTGACATGTTGTTCTTCCGAACGAAAAATCTTTGAACATAATAATAACGTATTGATAAACTTGTACAAACAATAGTGAACAGCATGTGTAAAACTTTACCTCATTAAAACCACGCACGTAAAATCATTAAAACCAACCTTCAGATTTAAATTAAGGAGCAAAAGAAGGCAAAAATATCCATCACGCAAGCTTTGATATTTGAAAATTGAATGAATCAAATTATTGGCAAGGAAAAGATATTTGTAGATTGTGTGGACCATACGTTTTTCAATGAAATCAATATGGGGTTGACAAAGCCCAGTTTCGATCGTTTGTTGACATTTGATATATTATAGTAGCGTGAACTATCAGTGAAATATCTCAAATAGCTTTCACATTTTATCGGTAAACACAAAATCTACATTTACTTTATATCAAATGTAACTTTAAAAATCGATTTTAAAAATCACGTCAAGGTTTTCAGTTAGTTTGTTTGAAAAAAAAATGGAATGTTTTCACAGCGTTATTAATAAGTAGATCTGTTTATATAAATTTTTAAAAAGTTTAAAGCAAGATTAATTACAAATTGCGAATTGAATATCACATATACACAAGTTGTGATAGTTAAACAGTTTTGATAAGATCAACATAAAATACACGCATTTAGCTATATTTTTAAATTAAGACATTGAGATACCTCTCTTGCGCCGTCCCCTACCCCATATGTCGCTGATGATGACAATATAGATATAACTGCAGTCTTATACATTTGTAACATATACAATGTAACATCATCATACGCTGGTTGCTGTTAGTTTCTGCTTCCGTGTTGTCCTTTCCTTTTGAAAATACAGTGATTTGTAGACTGATGAAGATTCCTCCACTAATTTTGAAAATAACTGCTTTATTTACTTCATTTATTGTCAATAATTCTAATAATAATAATAATACCCCGCCTGATACGACTAAATTTAGTTCAATTAAATATTATTTGACTGACACGCTGAAAAAGGTTGTACAATAATTATCTTATATATATAATAAGTGTCAATCTATAAAAAAATTTATATCGTACACTCTTATCTATTACAAAGCAACATGGCTGCTTTCTTTTATTGACAATACCTTTTGCAATATAATAACACTGCATAATTGCTGTTTGAACATTTATGATTTTATATGACCTGGAATTAAAGACGTTATTATAATAATTACTGTAGGAGTATTATTGTTTTAAAGATAAGTTTAAAGATAAATTAATAATCATTTACGGTGTTTCTAAAAGAAATCTAAAAAAAGAGGGGGAGGTTCCTCGAGAGCAACAAAAACAAAGTTCAAACGTGAAAAAAGCAGTTTCGGTTCATGAGAGAAAATGGAAAGTGCAACACCTCTCACGCCCCAGCCCTCTCCCCACAGAACCGGCTATGACAGTCTTCAGTTTCCAGTCCCCAAGATATTGAAATCAATGATCCCGAGAGATCAGAAAAAAACAACACTAAAATGAAATACGGGGCAACATTTTGCAGGTGCTAAAGTTTGCTGGTAAACAACACAAGATGTTAAGATAATTTTATATTGCACCCATTGGTTGTAATTTAAACAGCTTCCTGGTGCAGTATTGTAGTATTATTGCTTTGCAATTCCTTTATTCCGAAGACAAGTGATAAGACAACAGCTACATTCCTATCTGTAACTGTGTCAGTTTCCAAATTGTTACCACCCCCCCCCCCCTCTTAGTTCTCGGTAGCTATTACATTTCAAGTGGCTATTTTCTTAACAAGCTGAAAGTAGCACTGCATAACCGATTCTAAATAATCAATAGATTTCAAGGTTTGTTATATTCAAGGCCTACATTAAATATTTACCAATCCCTGCAGCTTTTTTGTATAAACGAGGTTAGTTGTACTCAAGTGTGGCTCTCTGAATGGCTTCTTATATGTCTTATCTAACATACATCAGTGCAGTGATAGTGATTGTCATATTTGATCAGACTATCTACAGTTGGTTGTTAAATTATCCATTTGATATTGAAATCTCTCAAACCAGCAATTGTCAATCGCAAATACAAAGCAGTACAAATCCATCATAGTCTAAAAGTTGAAAACTATTCAGTGTCAATTCTGACTTAACTGTCAATGACAATTTGATTGCTAGAGCTCCTATTTCTCGCGACAAAGTTAATGACAAGCATGATAATCTTGAGACTATAATAGCAGCTCCATATATTATTACTGGTATATCTATTTCTTCATATTTTCTTAGAAAAGTAGTAGAACAAACATTAATTTAAAAGTTGCATCTGATCAGTGCGGGTGTTTGTTGACCAACAATTATGGTAAGATACTGAAGCTTAGACGGGATTGCACAAAACTTGCTCACATTTTGCCGTTACAAATGATATGTGCATATTGTAAAATGTTCATTACTGACGTAGAAGAAAAGACTTGTACATGCAGCTTACTAAATCGAAATGAAATGTGTTATTTCAAATAAAACCTTCTAGACTGGAAATGATACTCTGGATATACTGAAGATTATCTGCCGTATCGAAAACGTATAAAATATGCATCTGTAGCTACAGTCGATGCAGTGGCTGAATTATGCTTTGGTACTTCAATGTGACTTAGTGCCGTGATCCGGAGTGGAAACTACAAATACCACCACCACACTCTGTGTATAGGGTTTATTAACAATATGTCTTCAACTTATTTCTAATTGCAGCGCAATAACAGAAAATATGAAAACAGGAGCGGACCGTGCACTCAGTGTGGCGCCGTTATATGTCGCAACGCCGCTAAATGTCGCACTTACCGCTAAATGTCGCATCAATACCGCTAAATGTCGCAACTGCCGCTAAATGTCGCAAAATCATTTGCCGTTAAATGTCGCAATGTTAACGTTAAATGTCGCACGAATTTCCGCTACCGTTAAATGTCGCAACACTACCGTTAAATGTCGCAAGATATAAATTCATGTTAAAATCATGATTAAAAGTAGTAGTATTTTAATTTAAAACGCTCTCATAGTTATTTTTACTGTAATTGCCATTTAACAAAAAGTATCTTTGTTTTAATTATTTTCTTTTATGAACCTAAATATCGAGGATTTGAGCTGCTATATAATGTAATATTGACGCTAGAAAGTGTATTCTAGAAAGATACAATTGAAATTCAAGTCTCAATAGATAAGTATTTTTCTTTTGTCTCCCTTTTTCATTTATAACCCTGATTGACAACATCTTAAAAGTATTATGATATTGTCGCGATCAGAATTCGGTATAGTAATTTCATTGATTTGAAGACCTTTTTTTTCTTGCTAGTACTAATAGTAATACAGTCATACACGGGCGGTTTAAGCCCCATTTACACAGTCCCGGTTTGGTGTCCCGGTTTGCAACAGTTTAGTCAACCATGATCAACCGTGGTAAACCGGCGTTGGGTCGTTGAAATTCCGTGAAGTAAAGGGACAAACCATGGTGAAACGGAACAAACTGAGAGATCACCACGGTTGTCTTCAAATGTTTAATACAACCGGGGCTCACCGGCACTCACCGAGAGGAAGCCCAAATCCGTGTTCTATCGGCTTGGAACAGGGAATTGCCGGGAAACCACCGTATCTATACTGCATCCATACCGTGACAAATCGTAGTAAACCGGGATGCGTGTCAATCAATGTCCTAACGGCAAAGTCCCGGTGATGACACGATGTTGCCACGGTAAAACAGGCAGAGCTACGGTAGAGCCAGGGCACATTGAGGTCACTGGCAACAACGCTCCGGTTGGAGCCGTTAATGTTCTGGATATTGCAGACAAGTACGGTTATACAACGATGATAGACGGTGGTGTAACGACCTCATGCCGATACAGGAAATTTAAAGAACATGAATATATAAACTTGAAGTGCTACTTTGGATCATTTTGTTTAGAGAAGGAACACGAGCATGGACAATTTGTTAAATGAGAGAAGGAAAAATTCTTCAGCTGGTGCATATTCAGCTTCAGGTACCTCAACCTCTGAAGGTGTTGTAGACACATTTTTTTCTAACTTCCATCCCCTTTCCTTCGGATGGCATCTCTGCTGTCTTTTTACCAAATGACTGATGTCAACGTGGTCAGTCAGTTTCATTCTCATAAACTTGAACAGGAAGCATCGGTGCATTACCAGGGCGTCACCAATAGCATTACCGTGGCAAAAACGGCGATGGTCGGGATGGACCGTGATGAAACCGTGTCTAGTCGGGTTTCCACCGGAATCAAGCGGGAATACACCGATTTAGCATCGGCGCTTATCGTTTATATCCGGTGCTAGCGAAAACGGGATATATTTGTTTTAATGTGTTTAGGATGACACGATTTAAAATTTAGATATTGTTTAGAATCAGTACTTTTAAAAATATACATCAGTGACTATATATGTTTCTTTGTTAATAACCATTACATCTAAAAACGGAAGTCTATCTGTACTTTGTTGTTTCTTAAATTGTATATCTTTATGAAGTGAATTAAGTATTTTTTCAAAATATAATAAATCAATTAGAGATCTTTGCCAAAATATAAAACAATCATCCAAAAATCTTTTCCAGTTACATTGAATATAATTAGCAAAATATTCACCTTTCTGTTTTTTAATTTCTGAATACAATGTTTCTTCTAAATAACCTAGTACAAGTGTTGCATATGTTGGAGCAACCTTTGTCCCCATGGCTGTACCTTTTTACCTGACTATAATATTGATTATTAAATGAAAAATATTATTTTGTAAAATTATTTCAAGGCCATTTAATATAAAGCTCTTATCAAAAAACGATGTGTAATTAATTCTGGGTACTTATTTAACAAAATGAAATGGCTTCTAAACCTAGTTTATGGGTATATTTTGTGTACAAACTAACTATGTCAAATGAAACTAAGTTTGTATTTTCTTCAACTTTCTTTGGTATGTTATTCAGAAAATCAATATCATCTCTCAAGTAACTTTTAACTTTTCCACAAAAGGTTTTAATAAATTATCTAGAAATGAACTTAAAT